ATACATACATAGGAGCCCAGTTAGACTGCTCTTGAGCGCGAGCCTTTCTTCCTCAAGAAAGGATAGAAAAAAGCCATTCGACTTTTTCGACCTCTACACTCTGTCTCAGCTCATCGTGCCCAACACCTCCTCGGGCTCATGGCATCCACCATGGCAGTCATTCAGCATGCACGTCTCAAAATGTGGTCTCTTCAATCATGGTTCCTCTCTCTATTTGACCCCATAGGGGACCACACTTCCAAACTCCTAATTGTGTCAAGAGAACCACCATGGCAGTAATTTATAGCTTTTAGCAGTAATCAAAGCCTTTTGAGCATTCCGACCACTAATTTCCGGACAGGCAATTCAACTGGCCATAGACAACGTGACTGTACTTTTTTACGTCAACAAACGGGGGGGACTCGTTATCTCCCCCTCCTGTGTTTAGCAGTAAGACTCTGGAAGTGGTGCTACTCCTCGTAGCAGTTCACATAGCAACCCAAGACAACTCACTAGCAGATCACTTCAGCTGGATGACAACCATGCACGAATGGTATCTAGATGACACCGTGTACAGCCAGCTATGCAACCGATGGGAAGCCCCAGCAATAGACGTTTTTGCTACTTCCCACACTCGAAGTGCCCCCATACTGCTCCAGAGCACAAACTGGCACTCACTCACTCGGAGACGCCTTTATGATCGGCTGGGCTCAGAGCATCCTGTATCTCTTCCCTCCAATCCCGCTCATTCAGTGGACCATCATAAGACTCCATTGGTCCCGTGCCTATGCTATTCTAATCGCTCCGTAGTGGCCCTGACTACCATGGTTCACCCAACTCAGGAAAATCTCCTCGGACCATCTTCACCTCCCAACCATACCTCACTTACCAACTCAAGACAAGGGGACAATCCACCATCTAGAGACATTAGTCTCTCAAACTTACAACATGGAGGATTCTCCTGCCATAAAGGCTATCCTCGATAGAGTCAGAAAGACATCAACTTAGATTCTCTATAATCAAAAATGGAAATCATTCTCTTCTTTTGGCACCTCCAAAAACTTAATATCAGTACCAGTCTCTCTGAAGACCCTCCTCACCTTTCTTTTACATCTTTCTCAACGTGGTTTATCCCACTCCACACTAAGTCTATATTTCTGCGATTGTTGCACACCAGCCTCCAAATTCTGAATCAGCTTGCCTGTTCTCACACGCAACGCTTGAAAAGTTCCTCAAGGGTCTTCACAACACGCGGCCCCCTCAGCGGCTCATTCTCCCACAGTGGTCTCTGCAAGTTGTCCTAAATGCACTCATCTGTTTGAACCCATGGCCATGACCAACCTAAATCTCTCTCTAAAAACCCTCTTTCTAGTAGCAATAATATCAACTAGAAGGGCTAGCGAACTCTCAGCCCTCAGATCAGACCCTCCTTATATACAGTTTTATCCAAACAAGGTCACACTATACCCTGATGTTTCCTTTCTCTCTAAAGTCGTATCCGGTTTCCACCTTAACCAACCATTGATTCTGTGTTCACTATTTTCATCTCCCCAAACGAATATTGAGTGCATGCTCCACATGCTCGACGTCCAGTGATCCCTAGCCTTCTATATCAACAGAACAAAATCTTTCAGAAAATCACCAAGACTTTTTATCTGTTTTCATGGCTCTCATAAGGGCTCAACTGCATCTTCACAAACTGTCCAAGTGGATTGTACAGGCAATTTCTTTGGCTTATGAATTATCGGCCAAATCAGCCCCAGAAGCCCTTAGAGCACACTCTACTAGAGTTGCCTCAACATCAACTGCCTTTCAACACGACATTGACATTTCACATATATGTCGCACTGCCACGTGGTCTACTCCATCGACTTTTATCTCCCATTACAGTCTGGACGTTTGAGCAAAGAGTGATGCAGCCTTTGGATGAGCTGTCCTAACCTCCTTACTTCAGTGACGTCCCACCAACCGGTAAGTCAGCTTGCTAGTCACCCAATTGTGTGCATTCACAGAGACCACGAAGAAAAAAGAGAGGTTACCTACCTGTAACCATGGTTCTTCGAGTGGTCCTCTGTAAATCCACACATCCCACCCACCTCCCTTCTGTCTATCACTTGTCATCTCAATTTATGTCTGTCAGCGGTGGACTTATGGGAACTGAGGAGGTATTTGGCGGACGGAGCATGTGCTTCATGAGGGAACGTCCCACTAATTGCATATCTTTAAGCTCTAGAGGTTTCCGAGAGGTCCTGCGCAGGCGCAATATAACCCAATTATGTGGATTCAAGAGGACCACTCGAAGAACCATGGTTACAGGTAGATAACCTCTCTTTTCTCCCTACATTTTCATTGTGAAAAGCAGCCTTCCCCCTCCATGCTTTACAAAGAAAATGGAGGGGGAAAGTGATTACTGCTTTCCCCCTACATTTTAGTTGCAAATGGTTCTTCTGGGGGGGAAAATACCAACACTTTTCAGCTTGGCCTGTATGGTTAGGCTTGAAAACACAGTATTGCTCTTTCTTAAAGTGGGTGAAAAAAAATTGGAGGCAAATATTCTTATTTCATCTGAGAGCTAAAAAAGGTTCTTTGTGATATCTGTGATTCACATTAATGGGTTGTTCTGTGCTTGCGTAGATGTCCTCAGAGTCTTCAGAGCCTAGAAAGTTGTTAGCCCCACCCTAACATCCAGCTCACGATCCTCCATACATTTAATTCCCAGTTCCATTTTGACTGCTGCTAAAGCAACACTTAATTGGTCATCTGGTGCCTACTTGACAAGTTTACCTAAATAGTCTTTTCCATTCCTTGTTAGCCCCATTGTTATTCTTAACATAAAACAATGTGTTTGTCATTTAATTGAAATAAAAGGCGGGGGGGAGACTGTTCATCATTGTTTTGTTCCTGCCTTTTATGGCCCCCAACAAAAAGTGTGACTCATGAGAAAGTAAGGTCCCTCTAACTGATAGACACTCTAAGTGCCTCCACTGTTTGTTTGTGAGAGGGTAATCAGACATAGTACTGCCAAATAATCAGTCCAGACTCGAATTTTACCTTGGAAGGTATCACTCCAGGCGATCTCAAAGGAAACTCTAGAACCAGTTGTTTCAATTGGTAATATCCCCCCTTCAAAATTGGCTCTCATGGAGACCATCCAGAACAACAATACACAAGAACCAATTCCACAGGCAGTAGGAACATAAGAGCAGTCAACAACTAAAGCAGTGGTTCCCAGCTTTGGGTAACACAGGTATTCTTGGACTTCAACTCCCAGAAATGCCAGCTAGCACAACTGTTGGTGAAGGTATCTGGGAATTGCAGCTCAAGAACGCCTGGATTGCCCAAGGTTGGGAACCATTGTCCTAAAGATATGTCCTCCACCTTCTCCACATTGAAACTGAGCTGGCCACATTATATTGTGACCTCCTTTCTTACAACTCTCCAGTGATGATGATAAGGTGAAGTTGTGACAGACTTTACATCAGTCAGCCTCTGGTGTTCCCAGTCTTCTTGCTGTCCTGTACTACAGACTACACTACACTCACTAGATGTCTGCAGAGCTCTAGCCTTCTACATGAACAGGACAAAGGTTGTTCAGAAAATGTCCAAGCTGTTTCTATCAAGGGAGACAACAAAGTAATTATGTATCCCCTCAAAGAATATCTAAGTGGTTGGCACATGCCATCACTCTGTCATATCAGCTGGCAAAAAATCTGTGTCTCATTCTTTGAAACAACATTCTACCAAGTGCTCTAGTTGATTCCACTGTCTTCATAAGAGGTGTGCAGATGATGGACATTTGTTAGACAGTCACATTGTCTTGACCCGTGATGTTCAGCAAGCATTATAGACTAGGCATCAGAGCTAGATGTGATGCATTGGTTGGTTGAGCAGTATTTTTACCAGTTGGCATGACATTCCATGTCAGTACTGGTAAGTGAACTTTCTGTATACCCGTTAGTGTCCAGAAAGAACAAGGAAAAGGCCACGTGGTCTCCAAGGTTACACTAATGTGAGAATAGGTGATATTTTTTGAACCATTAAAACAATCAAACAAATTGAAAGTATTGTGGACAAAATTCCTCTTCATCAGGCTGAGCTCAACTCCTTTATGAATAATGCAGAAAATTTGTAGACAAGAATCTGGAAATCAGTGGTAATTGACAATCTTTTGGTCTTAAGAGCGGGTTATAAAAATTCCAAACACTGCTGCAAGGATGCTTGAGACTGCAGCCTCAATAGCCTTGACATCACCTCTCACAGACCTGTACCATAAAAGTTTGGACTCTTGTCTACAATTTTTCTGTACTGTCTATGAAGGGGTTGTGTTCAGCCTGAAGAAATGGAATTTACTCTACAAAAGCTTGCAGTTTGAATTTTTGTGGTCCAATAAAAGGTATCACCCATTGTTACATTTGTGGAAACCATTAGTACAATTAACAGAGAGCATAGGTTATTTATCTGTAACTGTAGTTTTTTGAGTGGTCATCTGTAAATTCATACAACCCACCCAAGCTCCCCTCTGGCTGCCATGTGTTGTACTTTGTTCAGTAGTGGGCATGGTAACTGGATGGAAGAGCATGTGCTGGGTTTTAGGGTTTGGTTACCAATTTTCTAGGCTGTGGAAGATTCTGAGAACCTCTGTGCAGGCACTGAACAACCCATTAGTGTGAATTCACAGATAACCACTTGAAGAACTACTGTTACCGGTAAATGACTTGTTCTTTTCTGGGCACAGAATACTAAAATGCACATTTAAAAAACCTTAGTAGTCTGGAACTCTACACATTGAACTTGATTATTATGTTCCAGTACACTATCATTTCCAGTACTGGTGAGAGAGTGGGTATTTCCGGAGGTTAACCTGGTTGATACTTAAGAGGCAAAAACAAATCTTAAGCATGGTTGTGCAGAACAATAAAATGAGGAACTGAAAAGCTGCATTTTCTGTAGAGAGCTGGTCTCATTATTCATTGATCAACTAAGCATACTAATTTGTTGTGTGTTTTTTTCCCTTTTGCCAGAGCATTCAACTCCAGCCAAGGTAGTGAAAGCGGCAAACCCAAGGCAACGGAAAGGAAGCAAGGTACATGCTAATAAGTTCTTTTTTGGATAGACCAGAGAAAAGACGGTGAAGGCCCACATGTGGTACTTAACTGAATGTCAATATGACTAGATAGGCGGGGTATAAATACAATAAATAAATAAATAAAATAAAAATATATGCATTTGTAGGCCTATTATTTTACCATAATACAATCAAACTGAGATTGTCAGTTGTTCTGTCTTGTTTGTGGTTTGTAGACAAAACTTGATGGAAGGTTAGGTGTGCCTTAACCTCCGTGCCTTGTGTTTCTTAGTCCTCTGTGCTTGATTTCATATAGACTTTTGATGACTGCTGCATTTTAGGGTATCTCTGCTTCTGTTTTCTTTGCTTTAGTTCTTAGTATCTCTACTTCTGTTCTAGATCTGTGGATTCTAGTTGTCATACAAGTACAGTGGTGCCTCACATTGCGACATTAATTCGTTCCAGCGAAATCGCTGTAGAACGAAAATGACAAGCGAAAATAAAAAAGCCATTGTAGCACATTAAAACCTGGTTAATGCGTTTCAGTTGGCTAAGAACTCACCGTCCAGCGAAGATCCTCCATAGGGGCAGCCATTTTCGGGTGCCTGTGCAGCGAAAAATGGCTCCTAAACACAGCGGGGAGCCTTTTTGAGCACCCGGCGGCCATTTTGAAAATTTGACGATCAGCTGTTTTGATCATCGGGAAGCGAAAATCGGTTCCCGAAACGGGGAACCGATCATCGCGCAGCGAAATTTCCCCCATTCAAAACGTTGTTTTACGATCACAAAAACCTCGTCGTAATGTGGATTCGTCATTAAATGAAGCGCCCGTCTTGCAAGGCACCACTGTACATAGTTTGGTCTGTCTGTAGTTTCTGACGATAGGATAGTCCTGTTATGTGGCAAGAGATTTATTTGGAAGGCCTTTGAGCCTGTATTTTGAGCATAGCCTTCCTTTGCCTGTTACTGCAACAGTCATTGGTGCTGGTGTGAAGTTTGGCACTAGTATATGTAGTCTGAAGAGAATTAACCCTATGTATCCAGACACTTGCTAATTTCTTTAATCTTCTGCTCTTCTACACTGCATGTTTCTAGATAACAACATAGGGTTTCCTGCTGCTGTTTTTTGCCCATTGAAATACTTTTGTCTGTTTAGAAAATATTTACATCTGCATCACTGGAAAGTTACACGTCTTAGAGTATTTATTATTATATTTCTAGAGAGAGTTTGAAATTATACTGCTGCTACTGGACACTAAAGACAATGTTACTAAGAAGGTTCTTCTGTTTGTACGTTCCCTGTGTTAATTTCCATTACTAAATGAATTAAATGCTGCTGCTTCAAGTTTAGAGGAGGACTTTTAAGTGATGAGTTTTATCAGAAAGAGAGGCTATAAAAAAATCAAGGGTTACAGATTGGAAACAGCTGAAAGCAGGATATGTCACTGATCTATCTGATCTGTAGTCATTGACCCTGTTGGAGGGCAAAGCTCGCAGTGTGCTAGCAATTCAGAAGTTTTGCCAAGCTGGGATCTCTGGTTCATGGAAAAGTTCATTGAATATAACACCTACATGCCACCCAGCATTCAGGGCATAGATAAACTAAATCTAATGAAGAAATGGGGCATTATTTGAAAACATAATAAAGTTGAAAAAGTGAGAAAGCTGGGCTCAGATACTGGAGGATTAGGGACATTTAATTGAGCAGCCAGCAAAAGTAGCAAAAAAGAAAGGACAGGGGAAAAGGTGGCTATTTCATGTGTCAAGAGGAGAGGCATATTTTCTGCAGTGTCATTCAAATGTCCCTGTGTTCCAAAGACAGCACTACTTGCTATTTGAGCTTCTTTCCTAGAGACTCTAGTGACTGCATTTCTTTTCCCCCTGCTTATTTGGAAAGCAGAATCATTCCCTGCTGATAACCTGCCACCTTCCATTGTGCATGTAGAAGAATAAAGCCAAAGTTTCTCATTTAAACAAACACTTTGAATAAGTAAATGGATCCTAAGAGTCGCTTTGCATGATTCAAAAAGTGCAGAAAATTAGGCATATATTTGACTGAAGCCTAGCTTTTGTTCTTATAAAGCAACTTCCAGAAGAAGGAGCTGCAGGAACTTACATATTGCCTGGAATATGTAAAGATTTTCCAAGGTTCCAAGTTAGTCCCTTCAGAGCATGTTCTTGTAAGGCAAAAAAATGTGCTTCAATTCCAATACTCTTAAAGTGTGAATTATAATATATTTGCAGACTTTGGAAATCATCTTTAACTTTGCATAAGGGTTATAGTACTTAAACCACAAACTTCTCTAGTTTCATATCTTAGTTCTAAGCCCATGGTAGAATCTGTTGTAAATGTCTATGTTTTTCACTAGGTGGCACTGTGGAAAAACAGTGTCTAGGTACCTTTATTTTCTGCAGCCTTGAATTGTGCTTCTTTCTTCTTTTGCATTTTGGAGTGGAGCAAACCAGTAATAGCTCACAAAAGCAGAGAAATTATTATTATCACTTTAAGAGTATGAGCAATAGATAAGCTTTATGTACAAAAAAACCTCAAGGAAGGCAAATTGAATGTGTTCACTTGGAAGCCATGCTAGAGTAAACAGCAATACTTGGGACAAAGGTAGTAAGGTATTGTGTACAAGTCTAAAATTTATCTATTTGGCACTCCATGTTATAGGACAACAAAAATAAAGAACAAAGAGCCTCACAAAAAGCAACTTAAAAGAAGGCTATCCTCTTTTACTGGAGTCTGTACTACTTCACACATCTGAAATACTATTTTTCCTCACTTTGAGAGCCAGAAATAGTAGCTGTTGTAATATGGATATTTTTCATAGGAGTATAAACATTTTCATGCTGGATAAATAATGGTGTTCATTTTATATTTGAATCTGCTATTTGATTCTTTGTTGATTGAATATCTCTGCTTATCTCACTAGGTTGGTGACTTTGGAGATGCCACAAATTGGCCAACACCAGGAGAAATAGCTCATAAAAGTGTCCAGGTAAACATTAAGATCTCTGGAGATTGATTTGTAGCCTTGAGACTGTCAATGTTTTTTCACAATTTTTCTCTCCCAAATCCACAGACAGCTCTTTACACTTCATTCTTTTCTCCATGCTCAGTGTCACACACAACACAAAGGTTGAGTCAACTTTTCTCCATCTTAACTGGTTGCAAGTGTGATTACTATATTGCCCACACCTCTTACTTGTGACAGGTGTGTCTAAGTACAAATTAAAGGAGCATCACATGCTTGAAAAGCAATAATTTTTACAATTTAGACAGGGTGCCAATAATTTTGGCCAGTGCATTTTTGGGTTTCTGTATGGGATTGTATCAGATTTGACTTTTCTTCTCTGGTTTTTTGTGTTGGTCCAACACAAACCAAAGAAATGTACATGTGAGTACCAAAACATTTCCAACTGAAACAATTTTCTGAAAGAAGGGTTTCATTTTCTGACAGAATTGCAAGGGTGCCAATATTTTTCGCCATGACTGTAGCTGTATTGTGCTTGGGCATTAATACAGATCTAGAGCAATGCAGAATGATATGAACTCCAGACTTTATGTCCAGTTCTCCAGGAGATAACACTTCTGCTTCAGAAGTGGGGTGAAATTATGTGCTAAAGATAACATGATACTGTTACTGCAGTACATCGAGGTAAGTATTTGCAAACATCTTCAGTCAGTGGTGGTATGACATATCTCTTGTTGTTTTCTTCTTTGCGTGCTATTAGTTTCATAGCATTTGAGGTTTTTCATAAAATGCATGTTCAGACTTTTCATTTCCATTTTTCAGAAGAAAAGCTTGAGTGATTCCTTCACTTCCCAAAATCAAAATCTAGGATTTTACAGCAAGCCATGGTTTCCTCCTTCATTTAAAAAAAAGAAAGAAGAACATTTTGAATTTGTTTTAGTTTCTGTGTTGGTTTGAGACTAATTTTGTCTGGCCACTGAAAACCTTATTTTTTTTAAAGTTCATCAGTTGCAAAACATGTTAAATAACCTTTTTGCATAGTAAGTGAAGTGTCATTTTTTGAAATCCCAGATTCTTCATTGATTAGTATTTACCAGGGTTTCTGCTTCTGTCTAGTGAAGGTGTGAACAATGCTAATTAGCTTTTGGTTGATCCTGTGATACAGCATTGTAACATTTTCTTTTTAGGAAGTGAGAGCGATTAAGGACATAATTTTCTCTTTTACTGCATATTTCACATACTCTCTTCAGCATTTCTTTTCCCAAGTGTCAATCATAGAATATCCCTATTGATTTTTTGGTGGGTGGACATTATCACTGCTTGAGCAAGTCTGTACTTACTTAGGGTGTAATATTTATTGAACAGAATTGACTGGGAATCACATTCCAGTTTCTTCTCATTCATCCACATACTCTGGAGCACCATCGTATAGGGAGGTTCCTCAGTGTCAGGCTTATTGAGCCCCTTGAAATGTAATACTACAGGGAAAATACATACATTGGTCTTTTAGCAGAAACTGTTTTGTTATACTAAAAATGAAAGACCTGAATTAAAATAAAAATCCCATAGAAGGGAATGAAACAGTAACTGAGTGTCCGTGTTGCATTAGTAGCCTTTACATGGGATGTTGGTGCTCTGGTTTTGTCTGGTTTCTTCATGTGAAGTACCATTCTTAGGTTGGAGCAGTAAGGATTACAGGGAAGTTCCCAGCTCTGAAAGTGCTCATATATTCCTTGAAAGTAGTATGTGTGAGTGAGTGAATAAGAGAGTGTGCATATGAAGGGCAGAATGAGAGTAACGGAATTTATATAACTCACACTGCAACACAGTCTCCTGTTTCTGCACCATATAGCTAAGATATCAGTCTGAGCAACACTTTTTGGGGGTGCTAAATCCTTGCTTAGGAGAAAGCCAGGAATAGCACAGTACAGGTTGCATGCAGAGGATTTCCTTTTAGGGTTTCCTGCCTACTGTACTCCCTAGCTCAGTGGTGCTATTCTGGGATAGTAGCTTGCAGTCCATTCTAAATCCTGATCACAGTGAACCATAGCAGAGAAGGTAACTGTGCAAGGGTGGGATTGCTGTGAAAAGGGGGTGAAGCAGGTTGAGTGGTTAGCACCAAGCCTCACTTTTTAAGCTAGTGCTTAGTTTGGTATTTGGCTTGATGTCTGCTGTAGGGCTTTAACGTGGGTGGTATAAGTACTCGCAGAAGAGCACAGATGTAGAAGCACTTGAAAGCACACTTCTATTTTTGAGTTTCTGTCCCTTTTGGCAGTACCTTTGTAGATTTGCAGTGGCTTCTTGTCGGCCAGTCTGTTCTCTGTTTTGCTATCCTACCCTATTTTCATTCACCAAATGTCCTTTATCAAACTTCTGAGTGATTCAAAAATCATTGGGAAGACCTTGTTTCAGTAGTTATCTGTGTGTCAGATGCACATTTCCCCTTTAATGTGATAGAAGGCCTTGTTTGTATTCCTCCTACTTGGGAACAGGCTGCTGCTCTTGAACATGGACAAGGATCCAAGCATTGTTGCATCAAAGTCCTGCTGTTGATTTATTAAAGCTCTCCAGAAGATAATTGAGATTCTTGGCTGCTCTTTTCGGGATAGCCATATCTGTGTAATGGGGAGTTACCACTCCAGAGGATTAAATTACTATCGTGTGTCAATTGTCAGGCATATTTTACTGAACCGCTGTTATGATTCTCATGTCACATGTCTTGGTTATTTTCCAGCACCTGCCACAGAAGCCCCAATCTTTGCGGAAACTTCCTGTTAAGAAAAACATGAAGGAGCAGGAGAAAGGGGAAGGAAGTGATGGGAAAGAGAACATGAAAACCCGGTCAGATGAATCAGGGGAAGAAAAGAATGGAGATGATGACAACCAAAAATCTGCTCAGAAAAAGAAGGGTGAGAAGAGACTCTTTGGAGGGTTGAAGCACGAATGGGGCTCGGTTCTTCAGAACTTACCATATTACAAAAGAAAGAGGAAGGAAGTGACCCCCAATGAAAATCAAAACCAAGAACGTGAAAGGAGTAAGATTAATATAAAAATCATAGGGAACAATCTGATAAGCAACCAGTGCAGTCTCAAACAGTAACAAGAATTAATCACAACTGTGAAAAAATCAGGACAAAAGAATTCCAACCCCAATAATTACAAAATCAATTGCAAGTAAAATTGTTTTTAAAACATTATATAAAAGCTAAGTTCCAGTTTTTATGTATTCCTGAGAGAAAAATATGGGTAAAACGTATATTCCGTTCCATACCAATAGATGGAAGAACAGGGGTGAAAGTTGATTCTCCCTCTTTCCTGTAGTCTTGGCACAACTTCTGTGATCCTTCATAGTACTGTATTGTCTCATAGCCTGATCACTACAATGGCTAATCTGTGTTTTCTCACAGTAAGCAAGGATTGATACTAAGAGAAATCTGTGTAGTGGAAAAAACAAATCAGGCATGTCTTTTGAACCATGAACCAAGATTCTCTCCACCAAAATGTTCTTTTAATTCCATTTCATAGCTGTTTCTGTGGAATTTCTAAGTGGCTTTAGAAATGTAAAGGCCTGGGAACAGAACTGGAAAGATATGGGTGCCCAGTTCCCTTCCTCCACTCTCCTTCAACACCTTCACATCCTTAAGTGGATTTAGCATTAAGTTTGTTTTGGGCCTGTAAAGCCCAATATGGTAGATCTCTGTTCAGCCAAATCTTCTCATGTGGCATTATTTCCGTGGATGAAGTTGATATGAGAGAAAGTCTGAATGTATTTGCAAAGCACAAGTGGACAGCATGCAGCCCTGTTCAGAACCCAAATGGGTCCCCAGTCCTCCATGTTACATTTTTAAAGAAAATAGTATTGACTATAAAAGTAAGAAGAAGAAACTCAATTTACAGCTAAAATGGAGATACAGTAGGTACAAATTATAACAATGCCAAGCAAGCAAGCAAGCAAGCAAGCAAGCAAGCAAGCAAGCAAGCAAGCAAGCAAGCAAGCAAGAAAGAAAGAAAGAAAGAAAGAAAGAAAGAAAGAAAGAAAGAAAGAAAGAAAGAAAGAAAAGGAGAGAGAAAAGGAGAGAGAAAAGGAGATGGGAAAGGAAAAGAACAAAACAAAACAGAGGATTGTCTACACATAGGTTTCTATAAAAAGGCTTCCAAATATTAAAAAATCACATCCGTGTATAGTTGACATCTATGTCATATATTCATATGCCAACATTGTAAGGTCTTTCCACTGGATTATTGGTGGTGGGCATGTATTTTTCTAGTGTTATAAAATATTTTTGCATTTAGAGTTCATCTATGCTGGCTAGTGGTTAACTTCTAAGAAGCAGGTATATAATTTAAAACTACATAAGAATCAACAAAGATCAATTGGTCCAATACAAAATTAATGCAAGTAATAATTATATTTTAAAATGTTACATTGCATCTTTGCCAATGTGAGGGAGGCAATTCTGTCATATTTTGAGGGGCTGCCAGTTTCTCTATAACCACACCCCATTTAAAAAACAAACCACCAGATTTTTCAGTTTTTTAGAAATGCATACTATGTATAAGAAAATGAATTTGGGGTTAGAGCAGTTGCAGGTGTGGCCCTCGAATGTCCCCAAGTGTGAATGGGCAACCTCTTAGTCTTCTGGAGATTGCATAATCATGTAGTCAATAGTCTTTTCTGTCTTGCAGGCAGTAGACACAAATGGGTTCCTCTGCAAATAGATGTGAAGTCCGATGTGGCAAGGGACAAAACTGCTTCTCGCAACAACAGACAGAATGAGCAACATCGGCACCCTTCCAACAACCGAAATGAATCCAAAGGTATAATAGAATGTCTTCAAAAGGAAACATTTTTGGATCACGCTCTTGCTAACTCTTAAGACTGTTGCCTTTCTGCAGAAGTCTCTGAGCTCCTCTCTGGTGTACAGCATAGTTTCATGTACTTAGCAGTTTGGCAGGACTTTAAATTGCATTCTGCCTCTAATTCTGGTCAGGGGTTGACTGTTTTTTATTAAAGTAGTATCAAAATAGTTCTCAAGGGACATGACTGTTTAATGTAGCAAATACTAATTTGTTTTTTGACTAAGTGTTGGTCATCCTGTATCTGCTGAGTGGAAGGGAAAGAGCTTCACCCATATCTGTGGTTCACCCAGGTTCTTTAAGTGCATCACTTCACACCTGCAGAGGTGGAGTCACCTATTTCCCATTCCAATTCTGTTGCAGGTTGGCATCTAGATAACAAACATGAACGAAACTGGCCTGATCATGATGAAACATCTAGTGTCAAGAGTGAGGGGGCAACTGTGCGTGGTGCATTCAGAGGTAGAGGCCGTGGCCGAGGGAGAGGAAGAGGAAGAGGAAGAGGAGGTACTCGCTGTACGTAGGAGACCATAGTACATTTAGAGCAGTGCTTCTGTGTACAAGATGTTATTGATATTACAGACAAAGAACTGGCAGACAACAAACTTCTACTCCCACTTGGAAAGTCACTGACTGGAGGAAGCTGATTTGTTTTTGCTGAACAGAACAGTTTGAGTTGAATAAAATACCTGTACCAGTCAAGTAAATACCTGAATTTTAAATTTTGTATGTAAAAGTCATGTCTTGTGTCTGATGCCACTAGAAAATGTGGTGGTAATAGTTCTTGAATGTTTTGAGATAAGAAGCTGCTGTGAAAGAAACATGTGAAATGGAGGTTTATAGCCAGGAAAAAGTTGCTTGTATTTGAGTAATTTGAGATGTGGCCAGTCAGTAGACATGTGTAGCTGCATAATGACTCTTATCCAGTCTAATCATTGCAGCCTACTTTTTTATGTGGGTGATTACATTTTTGTGTCTTTAAAATTTGGCTTAAATTAAAATTACCTCGTTTGCTTGTAAAGCATTCTAGTAGGATGTTAACTTGCCCATCTCCAAAGTCAGATTGTGAAACAGATACATGTACGCCTGGTTTGCATAATTTTCTGCAGGAGTTCAAAATGGAAAGGGCAAAATGGTCTTATTGAAATAGAGTGCTTAGCAATGTATATCCTTTTGCTCTCTTTTTTCTATAGCTCACTTTGACTATCATTACGGTTACCGGAAATTTGATGGTTCTGATGGGTCACGTACTCAGAAGTACACTAGTAATATCACGTATTATTTTGACAACATCAGCAGCACAGAGCTCTACAGTGTGGACCAAGAGTTGCTTAAAGACTATATCAAACGGCAGATGTACGTATCAAGAAGTTCTCTGAGCTGTTTCAAAAGCCCAGCTGGGTTTTTGAAGAGTCAGTGGGCAGGTGGGATCCAGCACTATCATTCCACTGACATAACTGCTTCTGTCAGTGGAACTGCGCAATCTTCCACATGCCTTCAAAGCATCTTCCAGAGGGCTAGGAAACCTTCCAGAACAGGTTTGTAGGGGGAGCAGAGGACTGCAGGTAATGGGGTGGGGGTGGAGAGAATCTTACTACACTAGCAGGCTTCTGAACTACTTAAATCTGACACTGTATTCGTTCGGGAGTCACTGCAGGTTTTTTTGTTCCCTGCAGCAAATGTTTTGTTCCTTGGCTTAGAGCATGGGAGTGCATTTAGGACTATATCTACTGAAAATAATGGGACTGTTCTGGAACAAGTGGGTTTAGGATTGTGTTTTTATTCTTTGAATATTCTTTTCTTATTAAGAGGACCTTTGGGTTCCCTTTTTTATATATATATACATACACAGAGAGAGAGAGTGACAGACAGACAGACAGACAGACAGACAGACAGACAGACAGACAGATAGACAGATAGATAGATAGATAGATAGATAGATAGATAGATAGATAGATAGATAGATAGATAGATAGATAGATAGATAGATAGATAGATAGATAGATAGATAGATAGATAGATAGATAGATAGATAGATTTAGGAGTATCTTCATTTAGTCTAGTTCTAGATGATAAAAAAGAGAACAAAAATTCTCTTTTTGCCCAAAAGAATACATTCTCCAAGAGCTTAGTCAAGGGATGTATATCTGATGTGACCTGAGACATGTGCCCATCTTTCACCACCTGCTACTTGTTGTGTTCAGAGAATACTACTTCAGTGTTGACAACTTGGAACGTGACTTTTTCCTGAGGCGGAAAATGGATACAGAAGGCTTTCTTCCCATCACTCTTATTGCCAGTTTCCATCGAGTTCAGGCCTTGACCACAGATGTAGGCCTTATAATAAAAGTAAGTGATTATTCTTTTCCTATCTGCCTTGGGTTTGGGAGCTACGTAGCTGGATTGAAATACTGTGTTCAAAATCTTGAGTATGCCTTGTTACCTTTCTGAAATTTAAGGTATGAAAGCAAAGTTTGTATGTTGAGATCGTAGTCGTAAAATCTTACCTTCATCTTTTAGCTTCTAGGGAAAAAATTCTAAGGCCTTAATCCTACAGTCTCAGGAAGGAGGTCCTAGAGAGCTGTATGAAATTTTTTTCAGCTACATCTCTTCAAGGACAGAAGGAAAATTCTGGTCTCCAAAGAGGAAGACTTGAACTTGCAAGCCTCTTTGTAAGGTCTCCATTGTTGAAGAATACATAAAAGAGTGTTTTGTGGGCATTCCTTGGAAGGTTCAGGAGAGGATGTGAGAGCATCCATCTTCTCACAGTTACGCTGAAATGGAGGTCGAACTGCAGCAACCCTGGAGCTTTTGTAGTTCACTTCTTTTCCAGTGGGGTGAGAGAAGGGAAGGGAAGGGAAGGAATGTTTATTAACCATTTCCCAATGGTGTGTAATTACAGTCTCTCTAGTATAGAATACTTTGTTATATGATTTATAATTGAGGTTGGAAGGAATATGTTACATTTAACAATGTTCGTTGTTAAATGGTAACCCACAGAGAAGGGCCAGGAGCAGTTTAATTTTTAAATAAAGTTCAGTTAGTTCATGTTCCATTTTCTGCACAGTATTTTGAGACTTGTTAAATTGTTAAACTATTAGTTTTATGGTAAAAGGGGTTGCTTAAGAATTCCCCCTCAAAATTAATCTAACTTCTGAGGATGGATTTTAACTTGTCACCTACTTCTGTGACTTGTTTCAGGAATAATGTTGAAGTAGTTGCCTCTGAGTGTACAGAAGATTGGAAAACAAACCACATGGCATTTACATGTTTGGACTTTGATTGTCTGAATCAGAGTGTGTGGGCTTGGGAGAGTTTACTAAATGGTTTGGTTTCGTAGTCAGAAATGGTGTATATGTGTAGAAAACATATGTGAGAAGAGTTGTATGCAAAACTTGTGTGTTTATGGACATTATGTAACTGCTGTGTTGCAGTTGAGAACTGATTTTGTTAAAGTATTGCTTCCCAACTCAACTTAGTTTTTAGTGTAGAACCTCAATGAGTGACCTTGCAGTAGTAATTCTCAGTTTGGCCTGTCTCACAGAATTATTGTAGCAAAGAGAAGGTGAAGCGGGGAGGAGTATTGTCTGCCATGTTGCTGTTTCCTTTCTTCTCATGCTTAGAACAGGCACATGGCATTCGGGAAAAGAAGTAACAATGGGTGGAATTGTATTCTTGAAGGCTTTCATGGCTGGGATCTGGTGGTTGTTGTGTTTTTTTCGGGTTCTTTGGCCGTGTTCTGAAGGTTGTTCTTCCTGACGTTTCGCCAGTCCTTGTGGCCAGCATCTTCAGAGGACTGGAGTAGGAACTCTGTCTATGCTGTGTTGGTGTTTGATTAATCTAACAGAGTTCCTACTCCAGTCCTCTGAAGATGCTGGCCACAAGGACTGGCGAAACGTCAGGAAGAACAACCTTCAGAACACGGCCAAAGAACCGGAAAAAAACCACAAAAACAATGGGTGGAATTGTTTTGGCTTCTGTTTGATAAAGTCCAGTCATGAAATGTAAATACAAATGTCAGTTTAATTGTTAAAACCTGACCTTTTCAGGACAAATGTAAATGAATGAAGTGTTTGAGCTCCCTAACAGTCAGCAACATGTGTTAACTTTTTTCTGTGAGCTGTTCCTTATCTGGTTTGTAGTAATCATCTAGGCCTTACTTTGGTATATTAACATTTGATGGCAAGGGCTTGTTTTCCAGGCACTGAAAGACAGTAAAGTGGTAGAAATTGTGGACCAGAAGATAAGGAGAAAGGAAGAGCCAGAGAAATGGCCTTTACCTGGCCAACCCATGACAGACTATGCACAAACTGACTTCTCCCAGCTAATCAATTGCCCAGAGTTTGTACCTCGGCAAAGCTTTCAAAAGGAGACAGGTCAGTACTTGATAGCGTTCATTGAGAAGTGTATTAACACCTTTACCCAGACAGTTTGATCTTCATTTTTACTATAAAATGGTTTTTCTGTTAAACCCATCTGTCTTTTTATCTAGTGATTCAAAAAATAGTAGTATTATCCACCCCCCAAAGAAAGATGATAGTCCATTCCGGATAAATCGTCACTATCCGGATTCATCGCCATATGGGGCAAAAACCCCCATAGGAACGCATTAAACCCTGTTTAATGCGTTCCTATGGGGGGAAACTCACCGTTATGCGAAGATCCTCCATAGCGGTGGCCATTTTTGGTGCCTCTAAAGCGAGGCAACACAGCAGGCAGCCATTTTGGAACCGCCGATCAGCTGTGCAAAAATGGGGCCTTTGGGAGGACCGCAGGGGAGGGGTCACCCGCGGTCCTTCCGAAGCCATCGCCAGCATTTTCCCCCAGCTGAGCGGCGGTGGCTTCGGAAGGACCACAGGGGAGGGTTCTCCCGCGGTCCTTTGGAAGCCCCCGCTGCTCAGCTGGGGGAAAATGCTGGCTAGGGCTTTGCGAGGACTGCGGGGGAGGGCTTCTTCCCAAGCCCCCGCCGGTCAGCTGGGGGAAAATGGGGCTATGGGGAAAAATTGCAAAGCGATTTTTCCCCATAGGCAACATCGCAATGCGATCGCAAAGCGATCGCAAAAAAGCCATCACTATGCGGATTCGTTGTTAAATGGGGCGCCCGTTAAGTGAGGCACTACTCTACAAAGTTCTTTTTCTCCCTGTGGTCTTCTGATCCTAAAAAAATCTTTGGGGACAAATATTTATTTATTTATAAGATTTTTTTAGCCACACCATTACCAGTGCATCCTTCATTTCTGATGCTGTTATTCTGTATCAGCAAATCTATCTGTTCTTATGCTCTTTTGGCAAATAGTACTGTAATGTGCAGTAAAGAGCGGACGGTAGTAAAGACAGCCTGGTCTTAACCATTAGTGCCTGTTGCGCATAATAACAATTCAGTGTCACTCCTTAATTGTGGCTGAAATCCTGTTGGTTAAAATGGTAAGTCACAATTCAAGTAGACACATTAAATCTACGGAGGATTTGATTCACAAAATCCTCATCGATTCAATGAGCATACAGTGATTGCAAGTTACTACAGTAAACAATGAGATGGTTGGACAGTGTCATCGAAGCAACCAACATGAATTTAACACAACTGTGGGAGGCAGTGGAGGATAGGAGGGCCTGGCGTGCTCTGGTCGATGGGGTCACGAACAGTCGGACACGACTGAATGAACAACATTAAACAAAAGATCTCAGCCAATGGGTGGTACTATCTTAGCATCTATTATGTGTGCTCTTCATCTTTGTGTCTTGGTATATATCTGATAAGAATTGTTTTCTGGACAGGAAAGGTATCATTTGAATCTGCCTGTGGCATGAATAGGCAACATTGGCCTTTGAGCAGCATTCATCCTTCCAGGAGCACTTTTGTAGACACTTATTTTCTAGTTAATTCATTTTGTTTACCTACTTCATACTGACTTTCAGTACTTTTTGAAAAATGTATTTGTTGATCATTCTAGAGCTGAAAAATACAGAAATGCTTTGCAAATTTAAAAATAAAAATATTTCCATGTTACTGTAGGGAAGTGAAAGCACTTAGTGGCTGGAATAAAATTTATCAGTTGTCTTAACTGGTGATCTGTTAAAAATTAAATGCTTCAAAAGACAGTTATATCAGGATTACATAAAATAATTTAAAATGTTTAATTACATTTAACATTAAGTGGAATAAACATTAAATAGCCAGAGCTGTTTGTTTTAGTTTTTCATGTTGAGAAAAAGCTTTCCCTCTTCTCAGCTATATTTTTATTTCTGAGGAAAATGCATGCTGTGCATAGGCTGAAATACTCTTACTGGTGCTCTTTCCTTATGTTTAACCAATGTTTCCTTTTATTAAAATGCACATTACAGAATCTGCTCCTGGTTCTCCTCGCACTGCTAGTCCTGTGCCAACTAAAACTGAGGAAGTCAGTAATCTTAAGACAATGCCCAAAGGGCTTTCTGCCAGTTTGCCAGATTTGGACTCTGAGGCATGGATTGAAGTGAAGAAAAGGCCAAGGCCTTCCCCAGTCAGACCTAAGGTAGTTGGTGTGTTTTGTTGGCTGCATTCGTTCCTCTGTTTACCTCATTTGAATTAAATCTGCTAAATGGGAAGGTGTTCCCTCCCCTGTCAGAATGGAATTAAGCTCCTACACACAAACTGAATCCTAGTTTTTTGTTGGAATTTGTGCTTTATGCAACTGAATTGTACAATGTTGCATGTTTCATCAAGCATGATGGACAGTTGGTTCAGAGAATGTATCTGTGACTACAGAGCAGTTTAATGTTTCTGCTCTCAGACTATCAGACCATTAAGCTAAAAAGATGAGCAAAAACAGTATTGCACAATATGAACTACTGATGGGTTGGACTTTGTTTCATTGGGGTGTGCTTGGCTTATTAGGCATTGCCTGTATTCTTGGAGATGTGAACTTTACAGCCAACTGGCTTTCATCTCCCAATTTTAGATCACTAACATAGTCTAAAGTCCCATGAGATCTTGTTGTGATGATATTGTCTATTTTGATACCAGAAACCAGAAGAATCTAAAACACCACTGAAACAGAAAGACCAGGATGAACCTGAGGAGCTGGACTTCTTGTTTGATGAGGAGATGGAACAGATGGATGGCCGTAAAAATACTTTCACTGATTGGTCAGATGAAGATTCAGACTATGAGATTGATGACAGGGACGTGAATAAGATTTTGATTGTAACACAGACACCCCCTTATTTACGCCGACACCCAGGGGGAGACAGAACAGGCAACCACACATCTAGGGCAAAGATGAGTGCAGAGTTGGCCAAGGTGATCAATGACGGCCTCTATTACTATGAACAGGACCTGTGGACAGAACAGTTTGAGCCAGAATACTCTCAGATAAAGGTGAGAACTGGAGAAATTGGTGGGGATGATATTGTTAGTTCAAACAAATGAATGTGTACTGAGATGGGTGCAGGCAAAAGAGCAGATATACTGTGTCTCCGTCATATTTCTGTATAGTGATAAGTTCATTTTCATTGATGTGTCTGTTCTTTGTATGGAAAAAGCATCTGTATATCCATTAAAATCAGATAGTGGATCTTACAAGCTACTGTTTGGCTTGCAACACATGGCTGACTTTAAAGATTGCCTCTAGCATCCACAAATTCCCTCGTAAGATATATACAGAGAGTTATTTGCTAACCTGTGTTTCTGCAGACTTGCACTGTTTCTTTTTATTATGTCATTGGTACAAAATAGTTGTATCCCAGAGAATAAGAATTGCTTGTCAGTTTGTGAGAAGCATTATTACTGTTTTCCGCTGGTTGACCCTTCTTATTTTGTAGCATGTATAATGCCCATATCTTGATTCTTTGTTAGTTAGACCTACTTTTAATCATGATACTGGTCTTACTTTTAAAAATTTTTTTAAGATTTCCATACAGATCTGCCTATGTTCAGTGTTGTCTGTAGCACCGTCTACCAGCATGGATTTCCTCATGCATGCTTTTATTTTTTAGTATTCCAGGAGATGGGGCTTAATTACAGGCCCAAATGGCAATGCCCGGTTTCTGAAGTATAGTTAGAATCTGTCAAGGACACATTCCAGCCCTTCAGCATATCTTTATCCTTCCCTGTGCAGAAATCGTGCTTGAATTGTGCAGCCAACTGCTCCCTAAAATAATGGTGACTTCAGAGTCTTGCATTATTAGATTGTTCAGTTGGTTGCCAGATCCACATATAAAAAGGACATCAAGTTTAAGACCTAGGCCATCAGGGCCCTGTTGTGTCCTGTAGTTTATGTCACTTAGCTGTCTGAAGGACAAAAGAGACAAGAAGGATGAATTGATTTGCTTTGTATGCCACTGTCTTAGCTTTTTCCTCACTTGCTTTATTTGAATTACAAAGGAACATATGAATTGTATAGGAATAGGTAGCATCCCATTGTGCTGGACTTATGCATGTAGGTGGAATTGAATGTTTAGTACTTATAGTCTTTGTCACCTGTATGGAGTTTTGGCTCCTCTTGCTACCTGGTATACTTTGAGGTTATGTTACCATATCTGGAACTGCTAAGGTAACTAAGGAGATCATCCTTAGGTGATAGAAGTAGAAAAGACTGCCTCTTTTCCAAAGAGCTATCTGGAATTAGGAGGATAGTATTTCAGTTTTATCTGTAAATCAGTTTGGAATCCCTGTGGTTTCTGGAAGGAAAAGACTGCCAATATTAGTTGTAGTTTCTCCAAACAGAGATCTACAGCTTGTATTTGCAGTGAGTACTAAGACTGGGTTTAGGTGTTCTTCTAGTAGGTACTGAGATGGGAAACTGGTAGCTGTAAGAAATGCATCTGCTCAGTGCTGGCTTGTGCTTGTGTTTGCAGAAAATTAACAAATCAGCAAACTGGTACCTTTTTTTTCACTTGAGAAGAGACTTCAGTTTGCAGGTAGATCTTCAGAATAAACAAGTGGAACTTTGTGATTTACATATTGCTTCTTGACAAAGAGAAATTACCTCAGTGATGGTTGCTTGAAAAGTATTTGTAGAATAATCGTGTGGTATTGACTGAAGAAATTACAAGTTACCCTGAACAAGACATCCTTTGCAAGTCAGCCCTGTTCACTTAGCAGTCATGGGTGAGAAACCTAAAGGTGTATCATTCCACTTGTGGAATGGTAAAAGAAAAAAGAAAAGGCATAATTCCACTTGGGCTTCATTCCTCCCCCCCCCCACATATATATATTGGCTGTGTTTATGGCTCAATACCAGAAGTGACCTGGCTGGCAGGAGATGAGGGAAAGTAGTTGAAACATCTGAGGGTGGGGGAAGTGGGGATACTTTGGTACCTCTTCCCTAATAGCTGGTTTTATTTTTAAAGACTGTTCTCTTTATGAGTTGACCAGATGTGTGCAAAGAAAGCTATCTGCTCTCCCATCATATCTAATTTAAGCCCAGTGTGCAGTTTTTGGTAAATTGTGCATATGGAAGCTGCGTATTTGAACTTTAATGAGACATCTTAACACTTTTCTGTTTAACATTAGTGTTTTGAGTCAGAACAATATGCAGTAACCTTGATCTGTCAGAATTTCAAAGTTTTGTGTGGATTTATTTGTGGTAAGTCTTATAAAACACATATTTTCTTACTGTAGTGTCCCAGTCAATTTGTTGCATATCTTAGTACTGCAGTTCTTAATGAAGCTTTCTTTCTCTCAGTGAAAGTTATCCCGCTCATCGGTGACCTTGTTCAGCAAGTGTAAGGTTTGCAGTGGAAGAGGGTTTCCACAGATTACCTCTGGATATCTGTGTAATTTTTTGTGTATGCTCTTTTCAAACACAGCAAGAAGTAGAGAACTTCAAGAAGGTGAATATGATCAGTCGAGAGCAGTTTGACACTTTGACCCCTGAGCCTCCTGTTGATCCAAATCAGGAGGTCCCTCCTGGGCCACCCAGGTTTCAGCAAGGTAGGAGGCCACATCTGCAATATCCTGATTTTCCACGTTTCATTGAAAACAACAGAGTCCTGTGGTACCTGAAAGCAAGTACATTTATTACAGTATGAGATTTTGTTGGTTATAGCCTATGTCATCAGATTAAGCGTTACCCAGAATTTCAGATATATATGGCAGTAGCTGCAGTGTTCATTTGTTTGTTTTAATTATATTTTTCCTTTTTCCTAAACCTGGGGCTTAAGAAAGCTCGCAACAATATTAGCTAAAAAAGTAATGTCAAAGCACAAAAACATGTAATATTTAAACACAGGGAAATAAATTATCATATTCAAATGGAACTAAATTTAAAATACAGCAATAAAAAGGCACCAACATCTAAACCCTTTCCTTAGCAACCAGTAATTTGTCCAAAGCCCACTTGAATTAAGAAAAAGATCTGTGACTGCTGGCAGAACAGTAGCATGGAAGGAATCAAGTTAGCTTTCTTTGGGAATTCCACAGCCTGGGAGAAGCTGTTAAGAAAGGACTGTACATAGTGAAGTTAAAGTTGCCCCAAATCAGACTACTGATGGGAAGTAGTCTGGGAACTGGGGTCTATGCTCCTGAGGAACTGCCTAAGGTTTCACCTTTCACTGTTTAGCTTCTGTGTTGCTTTCTGCTGCTTTTTGTTTTTACAGATTTTGTTATCCTCAAGTGTAAAGATATGGATACTTTAAATAGAATATCTGGAATTATTTTCTATCTTTGTATCCTGTTTTCTCCTCCCCCTTCAAATGCATCCTCATGAAGCATCATTGCTTTTGAACTTTTTTCCCTGAGGACATGGCAAGAGGCAGGAGTCAGAAAGAAATGTGGTTCTGTGTAGACTTTGGAAGGTTGTTATGTCTGTGTCTTATATATAAGCTGTGGAACTGAGTTACTTTTTAAATTGTAGTTCCTACAGATGCTCTAGCCAACAAACTCTTTGGTGTGCCAGAGCCTTCGACCATTGCCCGATCTTTGCCAACAACTGTGCCAGAATCCCCTAACTACCGCAATGCCAGGACCCCCCGGACCCCTCGCACACCTCAGCTGAAAGACCCAACGCAGACGCCCCGCTTTTACCCAGTGGTTAAGGAAGGCAGATTGATAGATGCCAAGGTAAGAGCCAGCATATTAGGGGCTAGTCTTGTGTTTATATGTGTGTGGTAATGATCAGAGGGGTGTGTTTTGCATTCTTGATTTTGCTGACTTGAGGCCTATGAGTAGGTTCAGTAATGAAACTGAGAAATCTCATCTAAGCTTCTGCTTCTTGTAGACACCCAGGAAGAGGAAGACACGACATAGTTCAAATCCTCCAATGGAATGTCATGTTGGTTGGGTTATGGATTCCCGGGAGCATAGACCCCGAACTGCGTCCATCAGGTAATAGGAACCAGAGCTAATGATTTTCTGCAAAACTGAAAAACAAAAGATCTGAGAGCGGTCACACCCGGAGCCAATCAAAAGCAGTTCGTTTCATAACTCTTGCAGTTTTTCACAATATGATTTGCTTTTCTGTAGTGCTTCTCCTTAATGTTTTGCACCATTTTGTCAGAAACGTGCATGCCGACTGGGGAAAAAAATTTTCCACTGAAGCATAGTTGACCTTGTTGTCAGTTCTTCTCGTTCTCTTGAGCTATATGGCTCATGCAGAGAGTAACGTAATGTTTCACTTTGTTTAGTTCCAGCCCCTCAGAAGGTACTCCAGCCATTGGCAGCTATGGCTGCACCCCACAGTCGTTGCCCAAGTTCCAGCACCCCTCCCATGAACTTCTCAAGGAGAATGGTTTTACACAACATGTCTACCATAAGTATCGCCGGCGCTGCCTTAATGGTGAGTTGTGAAGATACAGCTAACTTGTTATGTGCCTGGTTTTAGTGCATGATTTCAGAATTTGCTTTATAACTGTTGCTACATTTATCCTCTTGACAATGTTGCAGGCCTTTACAGTGATATGAAGAAATTTAGTGATATGTGAGCGGCTGTGTGCACTACAGTGAGCACAGGTTCTAGTGATCTGGAGAAGACTGTTCTTCACTGATCTTTTCCTTCAGTTTCCTGTTTGCATATTTAAAGCCATAGATGAAAAGAAGAATCTCTACGCTTCTGGGCAGTTTTACAAACTTAGCTTCCTCTTTAATTGTACAGTGGTGCCTCACAAGACGAAATTAATCCGTTCCACGCTTAATGCCGTCTAGCAAAAATTTTGTCTTGCAAAGCGCGTTTTCCCATAGGAATGCATTGAAATTTAATTAATGTGTTCCTGTGGGGGGGAAAGTCAGAAACAAAAAAAAAAATCAGCAAAAAGTCACTTACCAGATAGCCCCGGAACAGCCTGAAAAAGAGTGCCGAACAGCGGAGACTCTGCAACCAGCAGGGAGCTGGCAGCCATTTTGTGGTTGTCTCTGCTCCTGCCCCTGCCTACCTCTCAGCTGATCGGCGCTGGGTCTAAGAGGCTTTTTTCTTGCTAGGCAAGCCTCGGGAAGGCTCTTAGACCCAGTGCCAATCAGCTGAGAGGCAGGGAGAGGGGGAGTTTCCACTGTTTGGCACTCTTTCTCAGATTGTTCCGGGGCTACAAAGTCACCGTGAGGAGCTGGGCTCAGTCTACTGTACCTGGTAAGTGACTTTTTGATGACTTTTTTGTTTCTGACTTTTTCCCCCATAGGAACGTGCCTTGCAAGATGAAAAATATCGCAAGACGGTCTTGCAAGGCACCAGAAATCTCTCAAGACTCTTTCGTCTTGCAAGTTTTTTGTCCTGTGAGTCATTCGTCTTGCTAGGCACCACTGTATTTGTTCTCGCTTTTGTGCTCCTTGTGGATTGTCGTGTTATCCAAAGGAATCTGTACAAATTTTGTGTGTGTGCGTTATTTATAGGATACCCAGGGTCAATCACAACAATTAAAATTACACAGTAATCACAGATTTAAAACTACAGTCAACCATTTAGCAGTATTAAAACCACAATTAAAAAGAAATTTAAACAATTTAAAAATATCTAAATTCAGTAAATGTAGCATCCCTGAGACACCCTCCCCATGTATTGCTTAAAAGCCTTCCTGAAAAGGATAAGAGGAAGGGGGCCAGCCTAGCTTCATGGCGCAGAATGATACCAATTATAAGAGCATGACCCAGAGGTCCCCTTCTCCTCAAGAAAGAGGTCTATAATGAGAGGCTCACATTAAGTGCCTTGAAGCCAAGACACTACTGAAACTAACTATTGATCTGAAGGATTGCCAAACTGCAGCCCCTAGTCCAAACAGGGTTGACCAAGGCCTGGCCATCTACCATACCTTCTTACTTGGTGAAACTTACCTTGTCAATAGTCAAATCCAATCCCACAAAGGACGTAACACCTCTACCTGAAAGAAACCAACTCATCATTTTGCAAGGTCTGCTTCTTGTTCGTATAGACCAGATGGGCAGGGTACAAATCAAATCAAATAAATAAATAAAATATATCAAGTCCACAATCCCCATTGATACTCCTTGCATCACCCTGTTCTGACGTAGGTGAAGGCAATCCCTTCCCCTCTTTGAAGATACTAAGTCATTCTCAGATATTATGTTGAGAATGGCAACACTATTTAATATAGAGGTTAATCACTTCTCAAGGCAGACTCTTTCAACATAGTGTAAGTAGTCAGAATTGCACTACTGCCTTCTTTCCTTGACATGATCAAAGAGGCATGACAAAAGCTGTCTACTTCACCTCACCCAACCTCCAAAGAGGATTGAGAACCTGACTAGGGTAAAAAAGGAGGCAGCTGCTTTTCTGTTTAAGCAACCCTGGCCAAATTCCATCATTGTGGATGCCTCCTAGACACGGCCCAAAAGAAAGCAGCATACTACTCTCTTAGCCAGAAATGACATGAAGTGGCCCTTATTGTCAGGCACATTCATTCCGCAGTGACTCTGGGTATCAGAGTTACAAACTTATCAAGCACTGATGGCTGCTTACCATAGATCTCTATGAGACGAGCTGCAACCAGTACCGCACAACCTGCATAATGATAATGGAACTACAGCACTCACGGTCCAGCAAAAAGCACTCTGAATGGCAGCACATAAAATCCATTTGGCCAGACATGCCACTTACGCTTACCATAGATCTCTATGAGACGAGCTGGAACCAGTACCGCACAACCTGCATGATGATAATGAAATGGAAGAAAAATTAATTTGGTGGGAGATGGAATCTTCAGAAATAAATGGAAATGCTGAAGGATACTTGTTTAATATACTAAAGAGAAGTTCAATAAATCAGATTAAAAACCCCTTTTTAAGAAACCTGTTAAATATTTGGAATAAATATAAAGAGAAGTTTTGTCCCTTAACTTCACCATTAAAACTAGTGACTGAGACAGAAAACTTTCCTACAAATTTAAAGGATTTAGTAGAATTATTTAAGAATAAAAGGGTTGCAAGATTGAAGGACTGGATGGGTAACATGAGATCGAAGGAGTTGATTATGTCTAAACTGCAATCTAATAAACTATCATGGTATAATCTTATTCAGTTAGACACCTGGACAAAGGATTGGTTGAAAACTAATGGTAAATGTAGAGAACTTACTAAGTACGAACAATTTCTGTCATCACATGAAGATATGCAAGATACTTTGAAAGGAATAGTAAGTAAAATATATAATATAATTTTGGAACAAGAGGAAAAAGAATGGGGAATAGAAGGTTTAAAATTAATTTGGGAAAACGATTTAAAAACAGATATTAAAATAGAGGATTGGACAAAAATGTGGAGGATGAGAGTGTTAAGATTAATGTCAACAAGAATAAAGGAAAATTTTTTTAAAATCTGTCTAAGGTGGTATTTGACTCCTGTAAAATTGAATATAATAAATCCAACATACTCCAAAGCATGTTGGAAATGTGATGAGGAAATTGGTACGTATTTTCATATGTGGTGGGAATGTAAAGTGGTTAAGAAATTTTGGGAATTGATTTTTAAGGAAATGTGTGATATATTTGGTAAAGATATTGATTTTAATGCCAAAATTGCTTTATTGTCAATTTTTGATAATACAGATCTGGACCATCACTCGAAAGAATTAATCACTAATTTTATGACAGGTGCTAGAATATTAATAGCTAGATTTTGGAAAGACAAGAAGGATATTAAAATTGAAGACTGGTATTGTGAAGTATGGGACATTGCATTAAATGATAAATTGACTATGGAACTTAAAATAAAAAGAGGGGAAATAAGATGTAACAATTTCTATGATATTTGGGGTAAATTTGTGGAATTTGTGTTAGTGAAAGGAAGGGGGAAAGCCTCTAAAGAATACTCAATACAATTTTGGAGAGGTAATCTGTAAGAAAAAAATTATTATAGTAAATAGAGTCCCGTGGGTATGGGGTGCACATTAGAATTTAGTTTATAATAAGCACTATTACTTGTATTTTTTTGTATTTTTGTTATGTATGTGTTCTTTTTTGTATTTTTTTTGTATAAAATAAAATATTAAAAAAAAAAAAAGGAATACCTGTCCTTTCCTTTAATTTGTTCAGTCCTTCTTTCTAAACAAACTGCTCATGCTACTGCAAAAAATTAATCATAAACAGTGTTTTAAAAAGCTATTACCTTAGCTCTTCCACTGTATCTCTAGGATCAGCAGAATAAGGTTCTAGTGTATATCCAAATGGGAGCAGAAAAACGTACTTGTACTTCCATATGCAAGCTAGACAGTATTTGAATCAAAAGTAAAGGAAGTTTCTAGTTCTCTAAATTTTAACACAGAAAATCACTGCCAGATCAATATGCTAAAGCCTTTATAGGAAACTCCAGATGTGTGGCAGTGTATGTTTGGATAGATCACAATGAGGGTTAAAATGGTAAATTCCATCAAAGAATGCAGCTCTTGGAAGTGTTTTTTTCAGTATCCTTTCACAATATATACTTACAAACAGTAGACCATATGGTTCTTATGAACTTCCAGTGTTTATATATATTTTTGCAGATAAATGGAACCAATAAATGTCAAAATACTTGATTCTATTTCAGACAGAAAATAAATCTGCAACTTTTTCAGATTTTAAATATCCTGTTGCTAGTGCAGTAGTCAAGAAATGTGGGAGGGGAAGGGATTTTAATTTTCATGATGCAAATAGCATCAAAAAAACTAGGTAGTTGAAGTGAACGTGCCATTTTGAATAAATTTCTTGTGATTGTTTTTTCTTTTATTATGTAATGCTAGAAAAAGATATGCCCATTTATATCCCATCTCAGCACCAGCCAGCCAGATCCTTAACATAGCAAAGTTTTTTACAACTCTCCAATACTATTTACAGGCATCTCTTACCAATGTAAGATTTGATGTTTGTCCTGCCTTTCTCTTGAGCCAAGGTGGCTTACAAACATGTTATTTACTGATGGAAAATAGCTATGATTTTTAAAATGGGAAATCTTCCTTGTTACATGTGATGTTACTAGCAAAGCTAGACTCTTGGCTGGTTTCATTACCTTAGGCAGCTACCCAATAGTGGGATTTTTTTTCTCTTGAGATTCCTCCTACAAGTCACTGCATGGTGAGATCCACATGAACTATGTTCATGAGAAAACCCAAACACGTTTTAAGATCATAGGCCTGTGAATCTCTTAGATTGTTATTGTCCATGGTCAGAACACATAATGGAGACTAGAGTTTGATTTATTGTGTGTTAACTGAAGGGGACAGGGAAGAAAAGGCACAGAAATAGTAATGCATACCCCCATGGAGGGCAGTCTGGATACTGATGAGCTTATTACAAAGGAGCATTAGCAGTGATCTTATTACACAAAAGTAATTATCCTGTTCCATTTTAAAGGTGTTTCTGGCCCATCCTCAATTGACAGGCTATCAGGTGACATACAACTGGTGGGATCATATTCAAAGAATTGATAATGATTTGACTATATAAAAGCAATTTAATATATATATATAT